CAGCACTGCGGGGCGCTGGGTGGCAGCGCTCCATCCCCGCCTGTCTCCCCCCTCCCTGGACATTCATGATGGGCAATTTGCTAGTTCATTATATGTATAACGTGGTAATCAATATGTATTTTTAAAAAGTAAATAAGAGCATATTTTTCCTAATGAAAGACAAGATATAGGAAAAAGATAGTTTTAGAAAGTGTTCAGGTAGGCCTCGTCTACCAAGGAAAGCCTTTTCCCCCGTTAATTTCCAAGTGAGAAGATAAACTGATACATTTACAGAACTAAGAATACCTTCAATGAGAGTTCTCTTCTTCCAATGAGCAACAGCTCTGATTTAGCTTGAAACCTTTCCTGAGCAACATAACCTAAACCAAAATCAACCAACCAACCAACCCAGAAGCCCACCACATAAAAGCTTATACCAGAATATGAAAGTGTGTGCCTCTGGAAAAGGGCTGCATATGCCAGTACAACTAGGCAAACACTCCTTTGTAAAGAAAAGCCTTAGAAGACCTGAAACATCTCTTTGCACCCACTTCTAAAGACTGGTCCAAGTACCTCAAGCATTTTTTCTACACAAGGGTCTATCAAACTCAAAGAGGTGGCCAGCTGATTTTCACAGGCTGATCCCGGGACTGGCTGCCATTTTCATGAACTGAGTGAGGCACTCCCCACCACCAACCTCTGACTGGACAAGAGTCTCCAGCAGTCCCACCCCTCCCCACAGATTGCCACATGGCCCAAAACCATGGCTTAATTACCCTGATTAAGCCCAGGGAAGTCATTAATCCATGTGCTATTAAGCATGGATTAATGGTTCCCCTGGGCTTAATCAGGATAATTATGCCATCGTTTCAGGCCATCCCCAAGTGGTAGCTCACTGGCAAAAAAAACAACAAACTTACTTGCATACAGAGAAACCTGCCAGTGCTGGAGCACAGAGGAGGAAGGAGGTGGGGGGCAGGGCTTGCAACAGCAAGTGGGGAAGCAGCCCTGCCTTGGGGCCACAGACCACACAGAGAGCGTTCGCTATGGTAAGCCCACAGCAGTGAACCCAGTAAAGTTATGCATGTTCACAGGTCATGCATGAGTTGCTGCCGTCCTCCCCTTTCATCCCCTCCAGGTGGTGATGACCTCTTGCCCTCTGTTGGGTTTTATTCAACTATGTGCTGCATGTTCACCATAGTGAATTGCTCTGTATGCGGTCTGTGGCCCCACAGCAGAACTTCTCACCCTGCCACACCCCATCCTCCTCTCTACCCCCTGCCCCTCCCATCCCTCAGTGGTCCAAGCCTGCAGAGCTTCTCTGCTTGTTAGTAAATTGGGGGGTTTTTTCTTTCTTTTTTTGCAGCAAACCTGCCAAAAGCACAGAGCCCACCTGAAATCATGGTTTCCATGAAAATCACTTAATCATGCTTTCAGTAGGTCCCTAGTTCTAGACTATATTCAGGGCCACCATATAGATCAGCCTACTAAGCTAGAAGCTTCAAAGAAAATGAAAGGCCTGTCTTTTTCAGTCTGCTGTGCTGAGTTTGCCACCCACTTTGCAGGCAATTGCCTGCATCCAACATGGCTTAGGGACCATCATTTTTGCTAGAGTCAGAGTTTTGGGGCAGGGAAGTTTGTTGTCCTGTTTCTATAGATCATTTTTGACTGCTATCACCCATTGATGCACAGGTGTGCTTCAGAGGATGAAGGATGCAAACTGGGCCTGTGTCCATCCTGGCTTGTAAAAGACAGCCAAGGAAAATTGGGCCCACTGCTAGTGAGGGTTGTGCTTCAGGTGCTGGATGCTCTTAAGTCTGTGATTGTCTGACCCTCACTCAATGCTGACTCCCTAGCCAGTTAGTTCTCTACCTCCAACCTCCCTTTTTTAGGGAAGGTCATTCAACATGTGGTTACCTGACAAATCTAGATGCCATCAGTTAGTTAGATTCTTGTCAGCCTGGCTTTCATCCTTGATATAACATGACAACTACACTCATGGCCTTGGTCACTTATCTTTGCCTGGAGATTTACAGGGGAAATTATGCCCTGCTAAACGTATTAGAACTTTCAGCAGCCTTTGATACCACTGACCACAAGGTGCTGACCAATGTTTATGTGACCTGGTGGGTGTTTGCAAAACTGCTCTCAATTGGTTTCCATCTTTCCTAGTAGAGAGGCCTCCTTTGGGACCTTTGCTGTGGGGTCCTTCCCAAGGGCTCTGTCTTGTCACCCCTCCCATTTAATGTGTCATCTCCATCTTGTCACCCCTCCTGGGGCAGGACCATGTAGACACTTGGAGTGAGGTCCTATCAGCATGCTGATGACACCTGGTTCAATCTTTCTGTCATCTGACCTTGGCCTCAACATCTCAGTCCTTTCCTAGTCCCTGGCTGGGGACTGGATGCAGATGAACCAACTAAAACTAAATCCAGACAAGACCGAGGTGATGGTGGCAAGCTGACCATTTGACTTGCAGGGGGATTGGGACACCTATCAGTGGTGGAGTTCAGCCTTCACTTGTCACTCAGGTTCCCAGGCTTGGGGTACTCCTGCAGCTTTGGGTGGTGGCAGTGGCCATGAGCAGTTTTCACCAACTCCATTTGGTGAAAAGGCTGCAACCCTCTCTTTTAGATTCAGATCTGACCATCATTAGCCATGCCTTCATAACCTCTTAGCTGGACTGTTGCAATGCATTTTATGTAGGACTGCCCTTGAAACTGCAGGTGGTAAGGCACGCATGGCCCACCCCTTCTGGTGGGGGTGGATTGCCAGGAGTATAAAACTCCAGTGGTTGAGTCTGCACTAACTCTCAATAGCTTTTCATGCACAGTTTAGGCTACTGGTTTTGACCTATAAGAACCTAAACAGTCTAGCCCCTACACATCCGAGGGACTGCTTCCTCCTGTACACTCAACCATGATCTTTACATTCAGCCAAGAGCAACCTCCTACAAGTACCATCAATATACCAAGTCCACCTGGCAAAGACGTGGGAGGTCACTCTCAGCAGCTAATCCTCTGCAGTAAAACTCCCTGCCTCGAGGCCCATGAGAGCCTATGCTTGGACATCTTTTGGACTTGCTGTAAGATCTTCCTATTTGGGCAGGCATTCAGCAAACTAAGCTAAGCTAAAATGTTGTTTAAGGGATGTTTTATGTGGATATTCTAGTTACCATTACGTTGTTATATTTTCTTGTCATTCTTCTGGTTTTTAAATTATTCTATTTTCTTATTGCAAGTGGCCCTGAGCAGCTGTTGGGAAGGGCAGTATACATATTGAATAAATAAATTAATACGTAGAACCACTCTAAGGGTGCAGAAGTTTCTCTTGTATTTTTCTATAATATTGTGTGTGGTATTTACAGTCGCCTATGACAAAGTTGTAGACACCCAAACAGACACCCTCTTAAACTGGAAATGGAGTTATTTGTCATGTTCTGTTTGCCTTGCTTTACCACAATTGTTTAACTTCAGGTTAGTAAAGCACTTCTTGCTCAGCCACATGCATATTCTGCATTTGTAAACTGAATAAGCAAGTCAGTTGTTGGTGTGCTGAAGTTCTTACTGAAAGAACGTATTTGGAAGTGAAGCTAATTTTCAGAAACAGCGCATCTAGTTTTTGCTGTGCTCTTTTACGTATATGCAGGGTAGACAACTGTATGAACAAAAATAGGAGACCTTTATCTCACATATCAAATAAAAAATGGAATCTGAAAATACCCTGAAAACACCATAAAAATAAATGTTTGATTCAGCATTCTAACACCAAAATATCCTAACCAGAAAGTTACAGTTATGTACTGCTTTTCAGGCAACCACAAGGTAGAAGACTAGTCAACAGAAAAGGTGCATAAAGACACCGGGCACTGCTGCTCCTGGAGATCCGTGCACTTTAAACACGACTTACATTGCCTCAGATTGGCAGTAGCTGTATTGTTTCCAACCCCACCAGAGCCTCTAGCCTAGTTACATGTGGACTTTTTTACAAGTTTAATTTTGTTTTAGTACATTTTAGTCCCATCACCTCGCCTACCCTTCTTCCCCCCAGCATAAGAAAGGATGACCATCATACTGCTGCATCTTGGACTTTTCCTCTTCTGCAAGCTTTGCTGGGTTGTGCTTTGTTAGTGCTTCTGCTTGTCTAAGGCCCCATCTATGCATTACATAACTCAAGAGGCGATAACCAGATATTCTCGTTTTAGGCCATAACCCAGCCACTACGTCCAATCAATGTTATGGTGCGATAAAACCAGAAACAAGCTGCAAAGTCATTCCACTAAAAACATGTCATAACTTTGTGGCTCACGCCATGAAGAGAACACGTAGCCAGGAGCTAAGCAGCACCGGGTGGGCAGACCAAGCGAACCCCATCAGCGAAAGGCCTTGGACACAGGGCAGAGGCTGCTCCAGGCATGGTTCTGTCGTAACCGACTGAAGCCAGCCGTGACTCTCAGCCACTCACAGAGTAAGCTTCCGCTCGCAAATGCTTGTGCCTCTCTCTCTGTCAGCTGATGAGGTGAGCTTCACTCATAAATGCTTGTGCTTTCTCTCTCCATCAGCTGCCGAAGCCAGGGCTGGGTGGCACAGGCACCAAAGTGCACAGTTCACAGCCTAGAGGTGGAAAGCTCAAGGGCACAGCCAAACCACTCACGGCCTGGCCCGTCAGAGCCCAACGAATCTATGAAGGCTGCTAAGTCTCTTGTCACAAGGACACGGAAAAGAATGGAATGGAACGGAACGGAAAGCTGATAAGGCCAGTTCCCGCTCACAGAGGCACGTGCCCGCTCCCCCCCTGGATATATACATACACATGTACACATACGTGTGTGTGCGCGTGTGCATGTGTGACTCCGGCCGCTTTCATTTGCGGCCGCCGGTGGCGTGAGGATGATGCCACCGCGCGTCACGC